CAGTGGCTGCTTTTTTTTTTTTTTTCTTTAGTGGATCCCATTTTTGATAAATTGTCAAGTCTTTCAGTTGGGACTAAGAACTAAATCTCTGCATGGGATGGGTAACCAAGCCCTTGAATCAACACGTTCTGGTTTAATTGTTTGTAGTTCAGAGGATGAGCACTGACAGAACTGAGCCTGTAAAAGCACATTTTCAAATGTGCTTAAGCCACCTTGACTGTACATCACCTGTTCCAAAAAACACCATTCCCCTCACCTGCTCAGGACTTTACATGTGAAAATGAGAAAATGTGGCCCAGCAGCAGAAGGAGAAGCAGGAGCAATGTGTGCTTTCCATAGGTGACATTTTCTGCCAGCTCAGTCTGTGTCACTCAGGGTTGCTCAAGGCTCCCAGTGTGTTACTGCTTGGGATGCTGCAAAACAAATGATTAAAAAATTCATCTTTTGTTCCCACTTTTTAGTCTAAAGACTTTTATGCATCCTCTCTGGGAATGTATTTAGAGTTTTGCTTCCTTTTAAAGCGCTCATGCACAAACATGGGGTTACATTGGGAATACACAGAAAAAAGGGGCACAAACCATTTATTTTGTTTTGGGAATGGCATGGCTTCACCTGCCCCAAGCATCCAAACCCACTGCTCCATCCTTACTGCAGCTTTGTTGCAGTTACTGTTTTGGACATTACACCTGGGCATGTCTGGGACCTTGTGTCAGGAGCTTCACCGTGCTGGGCACGTGCAGAATTCCCTTGTCTGGATAAATCAATGTGTCTGTGTGGTTTGGGGAAGTGTCCCGGGAGGTGTGAGGGGTTTGGGATGGCCACAGAGCTTGGGGAGAGCAGCACATGGATCATGGAATCCCAGGGACTGCTGCAGTTTGGTGGAGGCCTCCCTGCTGCTGCCTCACTCACCAGGGGGAAGCAAAAAACAACTCTCACAGTCACTCATAAATAATCACAATTTGTCTGGTCTAGGAAATGAAGTTCCTTCCTTATATATCTCATTCTCTTCTCTTTTTTTTCTCCTTTTTTGCTTTAAAATCCCAATGCTTTGTTTGATCAGAACAAGCTTGTCAACGCTAAATTCTCAAATGTCAGAAAATGAAACTCTTTATGTTTATGCACGTTCATTCTAAGACAGTAGAGCATTCCTCAAACAACAATTGGCTTTACTATTGCCACTGTTCTAACATCCTCTTAATTCTCTTAATTTAAGATTTCAGCTTACAAAGTCTTAGTCTAAGCTGGAAATTTTGGAGGTGCAACTGGTTACTGTTATTAGCCATAAAAATCAGTAAGAAGGGCTGAATCCTTTCTCATACAATAACTAAGCTGAGGAAACTTTGCCTAAGGAAAATCTGCTTCCAAGTTTTAGAATGTTTAAGCCATCTACCACCTTACATTTGGTAATTCATCCTCCCAATATACTGCTTTTATTAGACTGGATCAGAGTAATTTTTTACCTACTATTCAATTATGACTTTTATTTAAAGAAACCACTGGAATTCAGAAACGCATTTCTTCAGCAAACACACATTTTTGGGAAAAAAATGTAGACTTTGCCCAGGCCAAATTGATCTAACTGATAAGGCCTCATGATTCAGTGACTTATTTTGCTCTCAAACAAATATTTACTAGCAGAGATAACAAACCCCCAGCATTCCGGCCTCACTGCATCCTTTCACCTTCTGCTGACAACACGAAGTGAAAGTGGTCAGCCCTGGATCTCTGTGCACCCTGGGGGAAGGAATGTGTGTTTTTTACCAGTGAGGATTTCAGATTCCCTGGGGTGATTCATTCATTGTCTCAGCCCCAGCAAGGCACAGGTATAGCACAAACCCCTTCCTTCAGGGAGGGTCTTTAAACCAAACTTGCTGTAAATTCTGCAGAGAATCCTGTTGAAGGAGTAGGATTTGCTGTATTTTCCAAATCCTTCTGTGCCTTTTTCATCTTTTTTATCCTTCCTGTCTGCTCAGGGAAAGCTGTGAGTGGTTCATGGGCAAATTGTCCCTTACAGCCCTTGCTCAGTGGGCATAAGGCTCAGCAAAGCTTTAACTGTGCCCACATCCCACTCATGCAGAGGGACAAGGGGACAAGGAAAATATTCCTGTTTCCTCCTCTAATGGCTGCTCTTTTAGCTCTCAATTCTAAGCAACACCACAGGTTTGCTGTAGGTGTGAAACCTCAAACCCAGCTCATGCCACTGTCCATACAGACTTTTCTTTTTCCCCCTAAAACTCTTTTGAGAGTTTTTAGAGCGCACATTTTCAGAACTCCGCTAAATTTGAATTTATAAGTCAAATTACTGAAAAGTGAGGTAAGTGTTGGACTCCAAGCACAGCAGCTCTTCTCACCATGTCACTGTGAGCTCTCAGTGCACTTTGTTTTTGGGAATGTTGGTGAATCCAGCCAGGAGCTCAGGCTCCTTCAGCGACCAAGGGGCAGTGGAAACCTCTTTAGAGGCAGCACATCTGGCCTCTGTTTACTATACCCTATAGGAAATCAATATTTTGGTCTTCACTGAAAACTTTGCACTGTAAAAGGAACTCAGGAAATGTAGTTAAGGCAGTGCTTAAGCAAGGCAAAGTTGAGTTTTACTGCATAAATGAGCACTTACATGATGAAGAACAGACATTCCATGCTGGCCTTTCCATGCTATTTCCCTTACTTCACCTCTGATAAAACATGAATTAAATAAACTCATTAAAAGCCCATCTTTGTGCATAAACAGGACAGCCCCACATATACACCAGAGCAAATGCTCCAATTCATGCCCAAAGCAAGTTTATTCTCTCTGTTAAGTTCCTTTTAACCTTCTCTGAATTAGAGAATTTACCAGTCCAATTCCCCCACATGGTTTTGTGTAAAACTCAGAATAAAACATTTCTAACTATAACTTGGAACCTTAGGAAAGAATTTTACCCTGAGTTTGTAATATCAGGACACTCAAACATTTTGTAATCTCATTGAGGGTGTTATGTGACTTCACACAGACATCTGATTTTCTTATGGCCTGAAAACTCTGCCATATTCTGGAGTATTCTGGCTCTGTGTCTAACCCACCCAGCAATTCCTTCTCATGGGTTGTTTCTCTTCCTTTCCCCTTTGCCCAGGTTGCTGTTTGAAGGCTGGTCCCGGAGCAGGGTGGATGAAGCAGTGCAGCTGGGAGCAGAGCATGGCCAACACCTTTGTCACCGTCCCTGACGGGTACGGCCTGCCCGAGCCCCTCCAGTACTACGGTGAGCAAAGCAAGTTCTGTACTCTGGAAATGCAGCAAAATTAACTCCTGGGGGAATGATTTTTTGTTTAATTCATTTTAATTTATCTTTAATGTGCTTGAAAGCTCTTACTAAGCTCCTACTGAAAGTGTATGGAAATCTATTACTGTGTGCTCATACAGATTTTTAAGCACGATGGGATTATTCTGAAACATCCCTAGCACTGTCTCCCTTTGACCTGCATGGAGAAGACACAGGTTTTATTACAGTATTCCAGATATATTATCAACAGATAACCCCTGTTCTATATCTTATGGAACTATAATTGCAATAACTAATTTGATTCTGGAAGACTAAAGGCAGGACCCAAAGCCCACTTAAAGGAAAAAATCTGTTTTAAGAAATCTTCCTTATTTGTTTTTATAGAGATTTTAATAATCCCAAAGGAAGACTGAAACATGATGCATGTTGCACAGGCTTTCTTTGGTATAGATGTGTGTATTTAAGGGAGGCTGGATAAAATTGAAACTCAACAGACAGAAAGGCAGGAAGAAACTCTCTTTGTAATTCTGTACCTTCATTTTACTAAACTAAAATCTCACAACTGTAAAGACGTGTGAGAAAATACTAAATAAAACAAGTCTTTGCCTTTTACTCCTCTGAAGTTCAACTTTAAGACCCCTGTCACAGTAATTTTTAGTACTCTCTGATTTCTACACAATTTTTGTCAGACCCTTGTGCAACATTTTCAAAATGATGCCTGAGATAGATATCAGTAACAAACACTTTATTCATTAAGAAATTCACTTGTGGAACATATTTGACTGTAGTGTGGACAAGTAATAAAAACAAGTGTAAGATCTGAAGGCAGCTGTGCCATCACAGTTGGTGATATCCAATTATCTACTAACACTAATCCACATGATATTGCCCAAACTGTTATTGAGCTATTTTTAAATTTAAACAGAAAGTGTCAGATTGTCCCTCTGAAAATGTGTTCCTCCAATACTTATGCTACTAAATCTATAAAACATTTTTGTGACAGTGTTTGCAGGGGTCTTAGGATGAAGGAAGAGATGAGGATCTGACTCCATGTTTCAGAAGCCTTGATTTATTATTTTATTATATGTATTATATTAAAACTATACTAAAAGAATAAAAGAAAGGATTTCATCAGAAGGCTAGCTGAGAATAAAATAAGAAAGAATGATAACAAAGGTTTGTGTCTTCGGCTCTCTGTCTGCCAGCTGACTGTGATTGGCCATTAATTACAAACAACCACATGAGACCAATCCCAGATGCACCTGTTGCATTCCGCAGCAGCAGATAACCATTGTTTACATTTTGTTCCTGAGGCCTTTCAGCTTTTCAGGAGGAAAAATCCTAAGGAAAGGATTTTTCAGAAAATATCATGGCTACACATTTTCAAACT